CCCGTTCCATCACCAGACATATTTCTAAATGCTCTAACCAAAGTCTTGAGCATGCTTCTATTTCTTTCGTGCATGATTTTTTAGTTAGTTTGTAATGTTCTTGCTAAAAGTGCTTTGTCTGAATCATTAATGTTGGATTTTTATTTCAGCTTTTGTGTGCTTACGATGTGTATGTATGTCTGATGGAAGATTTCCATGTGTCTTTTGTGGCTACTGTTGGGCATGACATGATTTTTTTGTCCACCAGTGTTATTGTGGTCTTGAAAAGAAAAACTGTTAACTAAACATGCAGTCAGAAGAACTACGGTAACCGTGAAGAAAGTTACGGTAATCGTTAGAGAAATTACGGAATCTCTTTTTGATGTCTGAAAACTGTAACATTCTTTTTTTTCTGCGTTAATCACAACTGTAATTAATCCGATTCTTTTCGTGTTTAGATTCGGATTCCTGTACCGGTTCTCGCGACGGGTCCACAGAGGGCTCGAGAACCGGTTCCCGGCGCGGTTCCTTAGATCCAGATAAGTATCTGCAACTACTGTCGCCGCTGTGTCGGTGACGCTGAGTGTGTGTCGGCCTGCATGTCGCCGGCGGTGTCGTAGTGTCGCCAGCTTCAGGGCTGTGTAGTTGTCTCGGCAGCTAGAGAAGCTTGTTGTAGTAAAACTGTCACTGCCGATCGCTCGCCTCCTTCTCCTCCTTCTCCTCTTCCTACTCTTCCTCTTCCTCCTCCTCCCCCGTCTTCTTCTTCTTCCTCTTCTTCATTTTTTTCTTCTTTCTCTTCTTCTTCTTCTTCTTCTTCTTCTTCTTCTTCTTCTTCTTCTTCTTCTTCTTCTTCTTCTTCTTCTTCTTCTTCCTCGAAACCGAGCGAGGGAGGGGAAGTAATTCAGTGTTGTCATAGCAGCAGACGAATGGAAGAGTTAGTGCCCTTCACGAACCTGTTTGATTTCGTAAATTGAAGAGCTCCACAATTTCTTTTGTAGTTCTTCCAATCGAACTAAAGTAGAAGAAATGTTGAAGCGATGAAATAATAATATGTCTACATAATTATTTTTTTTAAGTATGAGGTAATTTACTCTTAATGACTGGAGAGGCTAATCCAACATTTACCTGTCAACTTTTAAAAGAAAGCAGAATAACATGAAAGATGCAGGCATTTTGGAATGGCAATGAAAGGTAAATCACAATAATTTATGTCATAAAATTATAGTTACTCTGTATTACAGCCCATGGTTTTTATAATACTTTTAAAGTCTTCAGAATTTAAATAATATGTGTTTGTCGATTTTTTTCAACTTGATATTGTGACAGCAACCTATTGAAGTTTTATTCTAATAGAAACAATTAATCAGAAGTGCCTAGCGGTAAACGTCGAGGAAACTCTTCCACAATCTCTGCCCTTTAGTGTCACGGAAATGCAGTGTGTCTTTTGGTGTGCTTCTACATACTGCTGCACATACATACTCTGTCCTCGTGAGATCTGTGCTCACTTCCATCGTGAGCAGAGAGCTAAACATTTCGCGGCTTTGTTGTGCAGCAAACTCACTCACTGGGGGCAGATTTATGTGCCACGCCCCTTTACTGTCTCCTTAGCTTAGCCAACCGTAGTCTACTGACAGAGAAAGATGTATGTACCCC